TAGCACGGGATCGGCGTGCTCTTCATCGCACTCAGCGCGTGCAGAAGCTCTTCGTTCGCAGCCTGCCACGAGTTCGTCTTCATGAGACCAAACCGTGTCTTGCCGATAATCGTCTTGCCGGCCGGCGGCGCCTCGAGGTACATCTCCGTGTCCGGGTTGAGGTTGGCGTAAAAGCCGCCGCTGGTGTTTTGCACAATAAACTGCAACATCGCATCGAACGCTGCCGACTGCTGCGGCTGCAGGGTCGGCTCGTACACGGCCGAGAAGCCGCTGAACACGATCGGGTGCTTGGCTTCGGCGACGACGCCGCCAAGCGCCGACTGCAGCATCGCGGCGACGTTGGCCTGGAGCTCGGGCACCGCCATCGGGACGTACGATGCGCACGCGTACTTGGACTTTTGGCACGAGAGCGCGCGCTTCGTGTTGGCGACCAGCGCGCCGTTCAAGAAGACCGAGCACGTGGTGTCTTCTTTGGTGGGCGTACTCGGGAGGTTGGCGCCGCAGCCCGCGGCCTTGGCATAGAGGTACGCTTGCGGTAGCATGCCGTGCACATGGGCGTGTGGCGCGTAGACGACGTTGGTGGCACCTTCGAGCGGCCGGCTCGTCGCGTTCTGGAAGTTGCCGCCGTCCCAGAACGGAAAGGTTTCGTTGGCGCGCGACGGCACACTGAACGACTCGCCGCTCGCCGAGCTCGCGCCGGTCGTCAAGACGAGCCACTGCGGACAGAGCGCGTTGACTTTGGCTGCAATCACCTGCGCGGCCGACGCCCAGTCCGAGACGCTGCGCGCGTCGTTGGCCGATTTCGCCCACGTGACGTCGGTCATGGCGTTCTTGAGGTCGAGGCCGAGTACGTTCCAGTACGTGGCCTTGCAGTAGTTGGTCGCGAGCACGACCGCCGCCTTGTACGCGAGCGTCTCTTCGACCGTCGACGGCTTGGGGTAGTACCAGTACGCATCGGTCGCAAAGTTGTCGACGAGGTCGTGGATGTCGAGGACGATGCCGATGCGGTACTTTTGGAAGGCGCCAATGAGTCGCGCGACAAAGTCGGACGTCCGAGGTTCAAAGCCCGGCGGGTACAAGGCGATCTCCTTGTTCTCGCGGTGCACGTAGGTGATCTTGGGCGGCGTGTCCTTGACGACCGCGTCGGCCGTGAGCGGGAAGCGCACGACGTTGATCGAGGCGTTGGTCATCAGCTGCATCATGGCGGCGAGCGACGTGCCCTTGATGCCCGAGTCGATCTGCGTGAGGTTGGCGCCCCAGAGACCCATGGGCACGCCTTGGTTCGGTAACTCCATGCCGCTCCACGTGACACCTTTGATGAAGAGCTCCGTCTTGGTCGACGGGTTGGCTGGGTCGACAGCGAAGATCTTGTTGCCCTCCGCAACGTAGTTGGTGTGGCGGCAGACTAGAGTTGGGTGAGATGGAGCATAGCTCGAGTGGAGGAGCGTACCACGAAAGGTCTGGCTCGTGGTCGGCTGCTGGGCCGTGGTCAGCCCCAGCAGCGCGGTGGCGAAGATAATGCTGGGGCGCATCGCAGTGTTGTGCACGAAAGCAATCGACGAATGGCGCGCAGCGTGTTGGGCAGCGTGTGATTGGGTGGGACGACCAGTCGTGCTGGGATTGGGCCAATCACGGGTCACTTGCTTGGGATTGTAAAGATCGGATTGTGTCGCGTGTGATTGGTCAGAGCGTGACAACCGCGCAGAAGTGCGCGCGGTGGAGGTTCGTTCATGTGTGGGGTCGTGATTGCTGCGAAGCGCACTCGAAACGCGCGCACGTGGACGCCGGATGGAACAACAATGGCTTTTGTTCTGCGTCGCACGTACAGGTTCGGGTCGTCCGCTGTACAGCACACGTGTACACGCAGTAGTATCGAATGCGACTGCTCACGGAGTGATGAGAAGATATATGATGTACGTGGAGGGCGACCAACGACTAATATTGAAAATATGGTTTCTCTCGTTCAGGAGAACAAGGACGTATGTAGTCTTACACTAACGTTAGTGTTTTCCCACGCAAGCTCGTGGGCTATTGCGATTCCTCTGGGCGGCGTCGCTTGCAAAGTTGTTCCATCGTCAATGAAACGTGCACTTGCATGAGCCGTTGTTTAATATATCTCAAACCCCTATCTCGAGCTTTCTCCTCCGGTTGGCTCCTTCTTCTTGGACGGACTTGGTTGTTGCGAGGATGGCGTCGTTGAGGTGCCACTGCTTCTTTAGCAGATGCTACTACCGTCGCAGCAATTTAGGTACGCGCCCCATGCAACGCTTGACGCGGAGACTCGGACCCAAGCTCAGCTGACGAAAGGCAGCCGATGAATAGCTAGAAATGCCAGACCGGTGATTCGAAGCATATATTCTCGCCCGGATGCGCCGGATGAGAACGTGAGTGTCGATGACACAATGCAGTCCCTCCTCGTGTAGATACGCGCGTCGTTCATGTATTTGTGTGCATATCGTGCTCCAAAAGAGAGCCTCTTCAGTATGCTGCGTTAGCGCCTTCCTCAAGCTGCGCTCAAGGCACCCGTCACATGGGCAACCGCGCAACACACCGAGCAAGTGCTTCTCGTCAACTCCAATCTCGGCGCCACAGGACAAGCACGTGCATGTGGCCTTTCTATTCACCGGTGGGAATCTCGTCAAGGGTTGTATTCCGACGTGGACTGAGCTGGGACTGCGCCAGGATGCATCCCCCGCGTCGCTTGCACCGGTCGCGCTCTTCAAAATATGTTCTCGTTGCGCAGTTATCCACAGGTGAGCCCGAGTCCCTCGCTTCTCTCGACCGGCAACAAGCCAGGGGTACCTGCAACACGACCCGCCGCGAGCGTGAATTTTTGCCGACGATCAGAAAATACGTGGCACCCGGAGGCTTCTCCGCCTTGCATTTCATTGGCTCAACGCTCCTTCGCCAGCCAATCCGCGACGGCGAAAATTTCGAAGCTGACACGCCGGCTTCCACAATCCCATTTCAGATTTGGCCGTCGAAGTCTCGGATGCAGACCACGCTCGTCGCCGCCACTGCGCTGCTGGGGCTGGCCATGGCCCAGCAGCCGACCACGAGCCAGACCTTTCGTGGTACGCTCCTCCACTCTAGCTGTGCTCCATCTCACCCAACTGTAGTCTGCCGCCACACCAACTACGTTGCGGAGGGCAACAAGATCTTTGCTGTCGACCCGGCCAACCCGTTGACCAAGACGGAGCTCTTCATCAAAGGTGTCACGTGGAGCGGCATGGAGTTACCGAACCAAGGCGTGCCCATGGGTCTCTGGGGCGCCAACCTCACGCAGATCGACTCGGGCATCAAGGGCACGTCGCTCGCCGCCATGATGCAGTTGATGACCAACGCCTCGATCAACGTCGTGCGCTTCCCGCTCACGGCCGACGCGGTCGTCAAGGACACGCCGCCCAAGATCACGTACGTGCACCGCGAGAACAAGGAGATCGCCTTGTACCCGCCGGGCTTTGAACCTCGGACGTCCGACTTTGTCGCGCGGCTCATTGGCGCCTTCCAAAAGTACCGCATCGGCATCGTCCTCGACATCCACGACCTCGTCGACAACTTTGCGACCGATGCGTACTGGTACTACCCCAAGCCGTCGACGGTCGAAGAGACGCTCGCGTACAAGGCGGCGGTCGTGCTCGCGACCAACTACTGCAAGGCCACGTACTGGAACGTACTCGGCCTCGACCTCAAGAACGCCATGACCGACGTCACGTGGGCGAAATCGGCCAACGACGCGCGCAGCGTCTCGGACTGGGCGTCGGCCGCGCAGGTGATTGCAGCCAAAGTCAACGCGCTCTGTCCGCAGTGGCTCGTCTTGACGACCGGCGCGAGCTCGGCGAGCGGCGAGTCGTTCAGTGTACCGTCGCGCGCCAACGAAACCTTTCCGTTCTGGGACGGCGGCAACTTCCAGAACGCGACGAGCCGGCCGCTCGAAGGTGCCACCAACGTCGTCTACGCGCCACACGCCCATGTGCACGGCATGCTACCGCAAGCGTACCTCTATGCCAAGGCCGCGGGCTGCGGCGCCAACCTCCCGAGTACGTCCACCAAAGAAGACACGACGTGCTCGGTCTTCTTGAACGGCGCGCTGGTCGCCAACACGAAACGCGCGCTCTCGTGCCAAAAGTCCAAGTACGCGTGCGCATCGTACGTCCCGATGGCGGTGCCCGAGCTCCAGGCCAACGTCGCCGCGATGCTGCAGTCGGCGCTTGGCGGCGTCGTCGCCGAAGCCAAGCACCCGATCGTGTTCAGCGGCTTCTCGGCCGTGTACGAGCCGACCCTGCAGCCGCAGCAGTCGGCAGCGTTCGATGCGATGTTGCAGTTTCTTGTGCAAAACACCAGCGGCGGCTTTTACGCCAACCTCAACCCGGACACGGAGATGTACCTCGAGGCGCCGCCGGCCGGCAAGACGATTATCGGCAAGACACGGTTTGGTCTCATGAAGACGAACTCGTGGCAGGCTGCGAACGACGAGCTTCTGCACGCGCTGAGTGCGATGAAGAGCACGCCGATCCCGTGCTACGGCGATGCGTACCCGGGGCCGCCCGACAGCAATGTGGCCAAGGCGCTCGCACCGTCCTTACTGCCCTTTGTTGGTGTTGCTCTGGCGTACTGCTGGTTCTAGAGTGAGCTCGTGGTAGCTGCTGAATAGCGTCATATTTGTGTGCATCTTGCCTTCAACGCGCGTTGCGGCCGTGAGATGCGAGCGCAACTGCCAGCGAGATGCAGCCAAAGCTATCGGCACGAGACGCTGCAGCAGCGCACATGTCGTATCTTGGAGGACAGCAGAGCGACGAGGTTGTGCGGCAGACGAGTAAGGGCCGGCCATTCAGCTACTACATGGAGAATGGACGGAGCTGGTTGTCGCTGTGAATGGCTCATTGACGCGTGTCGCTGCCCATTGCGGCCTTGTCGCTGCTATGACACGTTGGCCAACGCGCTCATCGATCAACCGCGAACGGTCGACGCGCGTCCAGGCTTGGTTGCTCTGAACTAGTTGAAGGGACGAGATGCTGCTGCTTGCGACCGTGTGGGCCAAGGTCGATACGGTCCAAGGTGGCACGATCGTGGCCAAGACGACGAACTGAAGTGGGTTGCCACAGTGTCATCTTGTGCTCATGAGTGGGACTGCGGCGATGACGTTCAGCTCACCTTCGGAGCTCGGTGAGAAGCTCGGTGGTAGCATGGCGCGTGACGTTCGCATTCGCCTGCTGTATGTCGGTGCCACGAGTGCTACCTCTGGGTACTGCGCATGTGTCCCAGCGCCACCGCGCTTGTTGGGGTGCTGCGCGAATGGTGCTGCAGTCCGCAGGCGGCGCGATGGCGGCGACCGCTCGGCGCGATGGCCCGCAGCTGCCTTCTTGCCAGGAGGCAGGAACGGGGCAGTGGTCGAACGCTGGCGACGCTGCTGCCGAGCCCAGTCGGCCAGTCGCCAGCGGCGCCGCCCCGTTACGCTTCAACGTCGATGTTACTCACCCTGTCTTGCATTCTCTGGCGCAGCCGATGGCGGCGCTATATTGAGCTTGAGTTTCAGCGTATGCATACAAAGACTAAAATTAAAAATCGAAGGAGTGTGCATTGAGACCCAAGTATGGGATTGAGTTTAGTGCGAGAGAGTAAAGTTCGATGGCAGCAGTCTCATTATTCTTCGTGCCACGGCAGAGTCTGCCGACGACGAACGACCACGCAAGCCATGTCTTCGTACCCGACGACAGCGCCGACGACGACGCCTGCCATGACGACGCCGTACGCCAAGCCCGTCATGAAGCGCAAGCGCGCGCTCGAGACGCTCCCGCCCGCCAAGAAGGGCCTCACCGACTCGATGCATGCGACGCTGGCGCTGCTCCAGCACATCCCCGCGCTTGCCACGTTTCCGCCCGGTCGGCGTGCCACGCGTCGGGGCGGCGTCGACGCTGGCGACATGATGATCCACGCCCTCGGCGCCGTCATGAGCGCGACCCAAGTGACGCCATTGCCATCTCGAAGGCCAGCCTTGGCGGCTAAAGAAGACGAGGCGCGGCCATGCGCCAACTGTTCCTAGTGCAATACCGTCGATCCTGTAATATGAAGCAACACCCATGTAATCACTTGCATCATTTAACTGCTAGCACTACACCGCGCGGGCCCGCTTGGACGCCGGTGCTTCGCCGTCCACGCTACGTCGTTTGCGAGGATCGACGGGCTCGGGCGTGTGCGTGTTGGGGTTCAAGGCGCCGTTGGCAACTCCAACGACAACCGCATCGGGCAGGTCGACGCGGCCAAGACACGAGAGGCTTCCGCCATGAAGAGCCAGCACCTCGGTCGAGACGCTCAGCGGGTTGAGCATGCGGCACTTCTACGCAATGCATACGAAGCAGTCCGGGACGGGCGAGGGCGTACTTGTCGCGTCTCGTCAAACACCAAATGATGGCGAAACGTGAGGATGGCCTCGAGGTACGATTGCCGAAAGGACGGCGAAAAGTCCTTGTACGTTGCTTCCAGCGCCGCAAGGATCTAGCAACCGCATCACACCTGACGTTCTTGTCCTCCTAGGTATACCCGCGTCGGTGTTCGGTGGGCCGCCACAAGGGCGTGGGCTGCGGCGGGCCCGACGCCCTTGAGTGTCGGGCAATAGTCACAGCCCGATAGAATGCAAAATTGCACAAACTAGACACAATTATGACGACAATAATGGACTACAAGCATCGCAGGTACCATGAATTCGCTCCAGCCCGTGAAAGTAATGTCTTCGTTGGCGCCCAAGTACCGCCGGCGAAACTCTTCCCCATATCCCGTGTTCTCAAGCTTGAAGAAGACCTACGCAGCACATATGTTCGTCGGTGGCGACGCGTTCATGGATGGCGGCTCTACCGTCTTGCAGCCGTACGGAATGCAGTCGCTGTCTTCCGAGAAGACGACGTCGACGAGCTTCTCTTTCGAGAGCAACGCGAGCTGCGCGTCGGCCTCGTACGGCGCGACAAGGCAGCGTACACTCGGGTGCTTGGCTCGCAGCGTCACAAAGAGCTTGCGCGCCATGGCCCGCGTCACGTGAAGCGACCTGCAGAACGCCGAGAAGCTCTTCTATTGCTCGCACTCACAACCCAGAGCAGCGCCACACGACGTACGCCCGAGTTGCCGGCGGCGTGGAGCTCGATACCTTGGTTTCGATATGCCTCGCGGTCGCTACAAGGGCGTGAGAGGCGTCAAGAAGGTACGACGTACGCGCGGCGCTTCTGGTTCGTCGCCGCTTTTGCCGGCACAGTCGCACCGTCAAAGACAAAGGTCGGCGTGATGTCGTGCTCCAGCAGCAGATCGAGACGCGCGAGGCAGTAGCTAATGTACGGCGCTGTTGCCTCGCCTTCAGTGTACTCGCCGATGGGATCGCTCTCGAGCGTGCCGAGGCCGAGCTCGACCACGCACGTGTACGCGCCTTTGTACAGCCAGCCCGAGGCGTCGATGGCTGCGCGCTTCCCACGGTACCTACGCCGAGCTGAGCTTGTTATGGCCATGGCCCAGGCAGGTACTTGCTAATGTGCGTCATGGAGATGATGCTCTTGAGCTTCGGAAGCAGGTCGGCGACCCCCATCCTGCCGTGGTGGCCTTTCACACGCAAATGTGCCAAAATTAGGGACACTATATATGGCACCATATGGCACATGCCACATATAACAGGCACGATGGCGCGCTCAGGTTCAAGCCCAAACGAGGCCGCCACCTTGCATGCAGCGCAAATAGTAGATGTAGCTTGAGAGCACTTGTCGTCTTGAAGCTGGGAGACAGCAGCGCGCGCGTGGCGCGAGGACCCGCCGACCACCGTGGACGACCTGTCTATGGCGCCTGCTGTGACCGTTGGTCGCATGCAGTGGTGGGGCACTGGGTGTGAGCCTAGCCCACGTCAACACCACTAGGCCGGGACAAGGCGATGTGTGTTTGCATGTTTAGTCCTACGGGAGAAGCCCGTTGATGTGAGACTGTACAAGCTTTGGCAGCAGCCAGTAGACTGTCACTTTCCTATTTGCCTCGTAGTACACACGCTGGTGTTTGGGAGTACGGCCTCCCTTTGTCTGGCGTTGTCTTCGTGGCGGAAGCGGTCACAAAGTCGACTTTAGTTGACCAAGATCTTTTATCAGCACCGTACCAAGATGACAAACGGTGGCGACCAAGCGAGACGACAAGGAGACGTCGATGATGTCCGCGATGCGGCAGCAAATGGCGGCGTACTCATGGTCACGTATTGAAGGCCGAGGTCTTGAAGACCGAGGTCTTGAAGACGCCGGATCACGATGAGGAGCCCGGCAAGTCCAAGAAGGAACAGAAGGCCAAGCGTGCATGTTGGCACTGCGGCGACGAAAAGCACACGCTACGCGATTGTGCCAAGGCGACGAGTGCTCAGAAGAAGGAGGCTGTGAAGCGCAACTGGATCAAGCCTCGGAAGACGCCCGAGAAGGCGGACATTTGAATGTTCTAGCCAGTCCCAGTAAGATTGTCTTACGTCCACAACATGTATGACTTGTGATGTCATGAGAAAGAGGTTCTTTGTAGAGCCTGAGTCGGCCGTCCTGTGATGGCAAGCTATCTTGTGATAGCCGTCTCCCAGTGAAGTGTAGCTATCCTGTGATGGCAACCACACAGGAGGTCAGAGGTATGGTGCGATGGATTGAGCTGACGGCGACTCTCCGGGCCGTCCTAGCATTCTCTAGGCATTGAGAAGATCCGCGATTCTCGGTACTCTTTGTCGCGACCTCTGGGAAGATTGATGTCGATTGAAGAACCGTCATGGCATCGACACGACGTCGGCTATGGGGGCTGCACACCGATGGACTGCGGTCTGTCGGGTCCGGCTACGGGGATTCGGTTTGTATCGATCGGTGATCAGAAGAAGGCTTGTGCCTCTGTCGAAAAGGCATGTGCCTAAAGATGGCGTGTGCCAAGATGGCTGGTGCCAAGATGGCGTGTGCCAAGATGGAGCTTGACGATAGTCAAGTCTCCATTGAAAGTGGGTTGTGTGACCGTTGGTCGCATGCAGTGGTGGGGCACTGGGTGTGAGCCTAGCCCACGTCAACACCACTAGGCCGGGACAAGGCGATGTGTGTTTGCATGTTTAGTCCTACGGGAGAAGCCCGTTGATGTGAGACTGTACAAGCTTTGGCAGCAGCCAGTAGACGTAGCTTAGCTGCCACTTCCCTATTTGCCTCGTAGTACACACGCCGGTGTTTGGGAGTACGGCCTCCCTTTGTCTGGCGTTGTCTTCGTGGCGGAAGCGGTCACACCTGCCCACTACCCTCCTACCAGTAGGTTAATCCCTTGACGCGACCCGACGCTTTGTGGGCACGTGTGCAAGTCGTCTTGACGTCTCTGCGACTACTTGCTGTTGACGTCGGAGTAGACGGAGCCGGATTTCATTTTTGTCATCTCCAACTCTTCCACAGTATTGAAGTCGGACCAGGTGGGTGTGATGACGGCAGCGTAATGCGCCACGTCATTCCGATGACGGCGTAACTCGCGCGTGAACTCATCACTTGCACCGTTGTTGCGCTGTGAAGTCACTTTGCCTTTTCATCGCCCGGCCTCTCATGCGAGCGCGGCTTCTTCATCTTTTGCTCCTGCCGCTCGTAGCGCTGAGCTGCAGCGACTTTCGGCTGCATACGGACGGTGTCGTCGTCTCGGCGCGGACGATGGACTTCAACTTGGATCTGCAAAGCACGCTCGAGATCGTACCGCGCGCGACGCTCATTGAAGAGCCGCTGGCAAAAGACTGCGCGTCGTGCGCCGACTATGGCTGGCGCAACCGGTACGGCTTTGTCGGCCTCAACATGCTCAGCCTCAACGTCGCCACGGACGGGCTCAATGAGGCCGGGCTCTCGGCGGCGTGGCTGTACCTCGTCGGCACCACGTACCCGACGCCCAATACAACGGACGTGCGGCCTGTCGTGACGTCGGTCATTACGTACATTTTGGGCAACTACGCAACCGTCGCCGACGTCAAGTCCGGCTTGACCAAGGTGCAAATCGCCGAGCCGCACCCGGGCGTGTCCAAGCTTCTGGGCACCGACTCGGGGTTCCAGTCGCTGCCGCTGCACATTGCCGTGCACGATGCGGCGGGTCAGAGCCTCGTGATTGAATTCATTGACGGCATGGTGCATATGCATGACAACCCGAACGGGGTCATGACCAACGCGCCGCCGCTGCCGACACACCTCGCCTCGCTGGCAAGCATCGACAAGAGAAACGCCAGCCTCCCGGGCGGGTACGACTCCGAGTCGCGCTTCCTCCGCCTCTCGTTGCTCAACGACGTCGTGGCACAGCCGTACTTGGCAGCGACGAGCTACAATGCGTCGACACCCGAGCAAGCGAGCATCTCGGCGGCGCTGCACCTCATCGACACGGTCACAATCCCCGCCGCCGCCTTGCACAATGGCGGGTCCACGCAGTTTAGTGTCGTGCGTGATCATGTCCAGCGCAAGCTGTATGTCAAGGCGACGCAGAACCAAGTGCTCCGCGTCGTCGACGTCGGGTCGCTCGACTTTGCCGACGCCGGCCTGCGCAAGTCGATTCCCGTCACCTTTGGCGACTGGTTTGTCAACATCACGGACGATCTTCTCGCCGCGACGGGTCACTCGAAGGACATGCCGCCGCGTAGCTTTGTGGTCGCGGCGCTGCGGTCGGCGCCGGTGAAGACGCAACTTACGACGAATGCTGCTGGTGACCAGTCGCATGCGCTCACGTTTGCGCTCGGCACGATCGTCGGCATGGCCATGATGGCGATCGTGAACGCGGTCGTTGCCAAGTACCGTCGCTACACGTACGTGTCGATTCAATAGAGAAAGTCGTGAGTTGTCGCTTGTAGCAAGAGTAAATATTTTCAATTGAACTACCTTTGCTTGTAGCTAGATTCGTGCTCATAGCTATAGTCTCATGACTGAAATCGAGAAGATATATGGAAGAGCACAGAGAACATGGCCGTGCGCTGTTCGTCGTCCGTGTCTTAGCCTCGTAGGCAAGTCTGACAAGATCAAGGATCCCGACGCAAACGTCCACGAGCTGGGTTGATGGAGCCTTCTCGAAAGGTACTGCGGCTTGCGCCACACTGACGCCGGAGGTGGCCGTGCATGAGTCATCACCGCTCACCGCGATGGCAGCTACTGCATTCTCTGCGGATACGGCGACACGTCTCCGTTATTTTCGCTGCCCAGAGTTGCCACTGTCCCTGGTTCTGTGCGGCGTCGTATTGGCCACTCGTTGGCATGTTGAAGTGGGCCGCCTGTCCTATCGCGCTCGAAGCAGCGGTTGTGGCCGCCAAAACCTTGACGTTCGATGCTATCACGGTGGATCTGCACCGTGTCGCACGCTCAGATGCGAGGCCAGACGCAGTCCGTCGATCCCGCAGTTGGCGACGGTATCTTCTTGGTGGCGATCTTCTGGCGCGTCTGATGTGCAAATTCAGCTGCGACATGTGGTATATCCATTTTTCAATGGGACCCCGTGTACCCACGAAAAAACGTTCGACCCCTCTTGGCCCGAGCTCTTGAAGGCTTCTGTGACGACTTGGTGGGTAGTTCAAAAGAAGTTGGTGCAAATCTCCAGCGTAGTGCCACAAGACAACCATTGTCGGAAGCCGCATGCGGTGGTTGTCCAACGTCCTTTTTTTCGGGACCCTGTGGGCAGGGGTAAATAATACCCCTGCCTGTGGGGGCCATAAATATCACTTGCAGCGTTTCAAATGTGATAAATACTAAAAAGACGCAACCAGTACTATTCACACGCCATTGCATACGAAAATCGATATAAATATTTACTGGTACAGCGCGAATGGCCTGTAAAGTGGCGTGGATTTAGCGTATCGGCGTTCCCCACCTTTTTCACGTTGCAGCTGCGGTCGTGGACGCAGGCCAGTTTGCATTTCGCCAGCGAATCTTCACATGCAGGTGCTCCAGACGGTCCTGCTGGTCGCGACCGTCGTCGCCGGCTGCAGCGAGTTCCGCCTCAACTCGGATCGCAGCGTCCTCTCGGCGCGAACCATGGACTTTCAAATCGACCTCGACAGCACGGTCGAGATCATTCCGCGTGGCACGCTTGTCGAAGAGCCCATCGTGAAAGATTGCCCCGACTGCGCCGACTACGCCTGGACAACGACGTACGGCTACGTTGGCTTCAACATGTTTGGCGTCAACGTGGCTACGGACGGGCTGAACGAAGCCGGGCTCTCGGCGGCGTGGCTGTATCTCGTTGGTACCGAGTACCCCGTCGTGAACGCATCGGACCCGCGCCCGGTCGTCACGTCCTTGATCACGTACATCCTCGGTAACTTTGCCAGCGTCAACGACGTCCGCCGCGGTTTGCGCGACGTCCAAGTCGCCGAGTTTGATCCGGTGCTCGGCTCGCTCTTCTCGCACGGCGCGCACGAGTCGTCGTACCCGCTGCATGTCGCAGTCCACGACGCCGCGGGCCACAGCCTCGTGATCGAGTTCCTCAACGGTACCATGCACCTGTACGACAACCCGAACGGTGTCATGACCAACGCGCCGCCGCTGACGACGCACCTCGCGACGCTCAAGGCCAAGGGTGTCGATACCATTCCGGGTGGATACGACTCGATTGCGCGCTTTCAGCGGCTCTCGGCGCTCAATCACTATGCAACCCAAGCGTACGATGCCAACACGAGCTACTCAGTGTCGACGCCCGAGCAGGCCGACGTCTCGCTCGCACTGCACCTCATTGATACAGTCACGATTCCGGAGCCGGCGCAGGCCCACGGCGACGCCACGCAGTACTCGGTCGTCCGCGACCACACGCGCAAGAAGCTCTACTTCAAGTCGACCGAGAACCAAGTGCTTCGCACGATCGATCTCGGACACATTGACTTTAACGACCCGTCGACGCGCAAGTCGCTGCCCGTGACCTTTGGCAAGTGGTTCGTAGATGTGACTCAAGACGCGCTTGCGTCGAGCGTCCGGTCGATCGACATGCCGCCCCGGTCGATGGTCATCGCCAAGCTCCACGGCCTCGCACAGCAGACGTCGCAGCTGCACGCCAACTTGGACACGCTGCCGTCGTACGTGCACCCGGATCGCACAGTCGCGAGCTTCCTCATGGGCGCCGTCGTCGGTCTCGCGTGCGCAGTTGTCGGCGTCGTCTGCTACAGAGCGTACCGCCACCGCCTCGAAAATCACTCGAAAGAGTACGTGCACTTGGCCTAAGACGATGATCTAACACGTGTAACGAGCTTGTTTTTGTGTTAATATGAACGTTCGAACAGAGACGACGATGACGACTCGACCATTACATTGCAGACTCTAGCTGGCGTACCCGTGGCCGGCGGCAAAACCACGGCCGGTAGCGGCAACCCGCTTCTGGTGCGGATCTCACGGAGCTTTTCAGAGACTTACTTCTTCTGCTCAGCTCAGTGCGCCTCGTCGCAGCCGACGCCCTCGAAGCCTGTCGCACGCGCGTCTCAACGACCTACCTCCTACGTGGCAAGTTGCCACGTACGTGGCGAGAGACTTACAGAGTTTACGCGGGAAAGGCGTTCGCATCACATAGGAAATGTTCGCTGAGCGAAGCCATAAGAGCGGACCATGGCGAGGCGACTCGAGTGTGAACTGGCAATGATGGTAGCAAGCGTGGGCCACCTGCGTCAACATGGTATCGGTATCCACGCCGTAGCCAATCACATGCACGATAACCATCACTCTGTACAGGAATGAAGGGCGTTTTGGAGATTGCCAGGCGGAAGCAGCTCATTTGCAAATTGACGACGTGATGTGGATGCGTGGTCAGTGGCTTCTAATGCTAAGCGCGGCTGTACATGGCTGCAGCGAGTTCCTCCTAAATTCGACAAACGAAACCATCTCGGCTCGTACGATGGACTTTACGCTGGACCTGAACGCGCACTTGGAGATCGTCCCGCGGGGCACCCGCCTCCGTGAGCCGCCGGCGCGGGACTGCGCCAACTGCAGCAGCTACGCGTGGGACTCGATTTACGGATTTGTCAGCGTGAATGCCTACGGCGCCAACGTAGCCACGGACGGGCTCAACGAAGCTGGTCTTTCGGCGGCGTGGCTGTGGCTTGACGCGACCAGCTATCGCACGGCCGACCCGACGAATCCTCGGCCCGTCGTCACGTCGGTGGTGTCGCACCTCCTCGGGACCTGCGCGTCCGTCGACGATGTCCGCGCCAAGCTCGCGACGGTTCAAATGGCCGAGATCGACCCAGCGCTGTTGACGATGTTTGCACCAGGGACACCAGTGGCGTCGTATCCGCTCCACGTCGCCGTCCACGATGCATCCGGTCGCAGCCTCGTGCTCGAGATTTTGAACCAGACGCTGCATATATATGACAACCCGAATGGCGTGCTCACCAACGACCCGCCGCTGCCCGACCAGTTGGCGGCGCTCGCGAACGCCACGTCGCTGCCGTCGGGCTATGGCTCGACCGAGCGCTTCGTGCGTCTCTCGATGCTCAACCGCCACCGCGATCGCGCGTATGACCCGTCGACGAGCTACGGCGCGGCGTCGAGCGAGCAGGCGGCCGTCGCTTCCGCCGCGCACTTTCTAGGCACGGTACAGGTACCGCTGGCGGGCAAAGACGGCGGCGGCACTGAGTTTGCATTGGTGCGGGACCACATGCACCGAAAACTCTATTTCCAGTCGACGCAAAACCTCAATTTGCGCATGGTCGACTTGCGTCGCATCGACTTTGCGCCTGGCGCCAAGCGACAAGCCCTTGCCGTGACGTTTGGGCGCTGGTTTGATGACGTCACGGACGCACTTTTGGCGTCGACGACACACTCGAAAGACATTCCGAACCGGTCGCACTTGGACAAGGCGTTCGATTCACACTCGACGCAGTTGGCGCCGCCAACGTTCCGCGGTTCAATCCCCGCCACCATCATTGTTGTCGGTGCCAGCATCGGTGCTATCGGTGTGATCGGCATAGCGTTGCTGCGCGAACACAAACGCCAAGGGTACGCCAATGTCGCTTAATCTTAATCCCTCTTAATTACACTCTGTTAACCCTGTGCCCTGTCGATGTGACGTGCGCTGCCATGTCGTGCAACTGCAAAGCAGAAATCAGATACAAATCGAGTCCTCACTGAGAGCGCTTCGATGAACCAGAAGAGACGCTGCTTGGGTGCTAGTAGGTCCACCAAGTCCACGCTCAGACAACACAGCCAATTTTCGTAGCCTGGGCGCACGTCACGTCTAATGGACTAGCGACCACCGCAAGCGACAGCCTGCACGGACACGAGACGGACGGCGAACCTGCCGAGTGATCATCCGCGTCCGATTGGGTGCAGCTACAGTGACGAGAGCTCCAGGCATGGCAAGCAGCAACACATCGAGCTCGTTGGCGCGTGCCACATTGCAGGAGGGCACCAATGGCAGCGCCGACCAGGGCAGAAGAACATGGCTTTCTCTTTGGCTCGTGGCTGCTCCCGGATGCACGAAGTGTCTTTGTCCCCGCCTTTCCATGTGTGGTGGCGGGTGCACCGCCAGCGCGCATCTTGCCGTCAAGAGCATCGCGCCACTGCAGATCGATGCTTCCATCGTCGTGCGCGAATGGCTGGCACTCCACACACGCTTGCGGTACTGTACAACGACTAGCGTAAGCAGCTCCGCCGTAATGCGCGTCTTCAGTCTAGAATCCATTTCTCGCCTGGCGCGAAACTCCGAAATGCCGAGTTGGGAGTCGAGTTGGGTGGTGGGCTGCATTGGCGTTGCTGTCACGACCGGCGCAGGCCAGTCCACCCACGATCGCAGGTGCGGCACCTCGGCACTGCACGCGCATCCCCCTCATGCAGCACAAAGCCGCGTTAAACGCGTTAAAACGTTTGCATTCAACGTCGCACGCTCCGGCTCTCGGCGCCGCCAATCGGTGGCCATCAAATGGCGCCAGCTGTCGGCCCAGGAAGGCTGTCGATGTTTCTTGATCGGGTTCTTTCGACCTTGTTGACGGCCACCGACGCGCGACTCAGTTCCAGAGGAACGACATGCATGAAAGCTATTGCTGGTCTCCATACAAATCCATCGCGTTTTATCTCGACTCGATGTGTGCTGCCGTGCTCTCTCGTCGCTTCCTTTTGCCTCCACTGCTACTAGTCCTCGACCGTGCTTGGGGTTGGGGGTTCTAGGAGATACTAGCATTCTGGGTACCTGTTAGTAGTATCCAAGAACTTATTGGTGTGGTTGGCTGAGTCGAAACCGATGCCGTCATGCCTTTGCCACCGCAGCTCGGTCCTTTGCAGGTGTCCAACAGCAGCTTGCGACGCCAACGAGCATCAATTCCACCATCGTGCTGTGGAGGAGGCTCAGTCCTCCTGCATGTATTACCACGGGTAAAACGCGTTTAAACACGCCCCGAGACATTGGCGGCGAATTTTTGTGCAGCCATTTCTACGCCGGCGTCGTGTGGTCTGATTCTAGCAGCTCACTTTGCCTTTTCCAGCCAACAACCCGAACAGACATGACCGAGTCGGGGGCGCCAGCCAGCAGCAGCAAGGTAACCTCGTGCGCTCGCTTGTGCGCCATCGATCTCATGCCCTTTGTAGAAGAAGATCTTTATGATCGTCGGCGGTATCGTCGTCGTCGCCGCCGTTGCCACGGTCGTTGCGGTCGTTGCAACCAAGAAGGACGATTCGGCGTCGACGTCGTCGGACAAGTCGAACGGCAATGCGACGCCGTCGCCGTCCTCGAACAGCTCGTCGCCCGGCCTGTCTGGCTCGACGGTCTCGGACGCCGACTTGATCCCCAAGACGAACGCGACCAAGGTCAACCCGCTCTTGGCCAACCCCACGGCGGACCCGGAGACGATGACGCCGACGTTTACGATGCTCGCGGTCGGCGATTGGGGCTCGACGCCGTACAAGAAGAGCGGGTCGGACGACAACCCGGGCAGTTGCTGCAAGATGTACAACTCGAAGACCAACCCGAGCGAGAACCGGTACAAGGTTGACTTTTGGTCGCAGAGCTACGTGGCGACGCTCATGGCGCAGTCGGCCAAGGAGCTCAAGCCCGTGCGCATCATTGGCCACGGCGATAACTTTTACTGGGACGGTCTTGGCGGCAGCAACGACGACAAGTTTCGATTTGCGACGACGTTTGAGGACATGTACTCGGACCCGGCGCTCAAGGGCATCAAGTGGCTCAACGTGATTGGCAACCACGACATTGGCGGGGCCATGTACCTCTGCGGCGCCGAGAAGAACGAGTACACGAAATGCGGGAGCCCGGCCGAGCTCGTCGAGAACCTCAACCAGCGCTTCAAGTACCAGCAGCGCTACAAGTCGCCGGACAACGACCGGTGGCAGCTCAAGGACCACTACTACGTCGACAGCTACACGGCCGGCGGCGTGACTGTCGACATCTTCAACATGGACACCAACTACGCCGACAACCACGGCGGCATGCAGATCTGCTGCCAGTGCTTTGGCTACACGCAGAACAACCCGGCGGCGCAGGCCAAGTGCGAAGACTCGAAGCCCGGCGACCAGTACTGCGCGGGCGGTGACATGGGCATGTACAACGCGTGCATTGACGAGATCAACGGCTGGGGCAAGGACTCGATCAAGCAGGCGACGCGCGACATTGCGGCGTCGACGGCCGACTTCAAGATTATCAACACGCACTACTCGCCGCACCACCACATGAGCCCGGACAAGCAGAAGGAACTCTTCAAGCTCACAAAGGACACGAACGTGCAGGTCTTTATGAATGGCCACACGCACGCCTTCTCGCACGACACGTCGCTCTGGGGCACCCATTTCATTGAGAATGGCGGCGGCGGTGGCATCTACACGAGCTCGGCCAACGCGCTCTCGAACGATTTCGTCAAGAACGTCTGGGCCGGCGCCGGCTACCCGTACGGGTTCTTTGAGCTGAGTTTCTCGAAAGACTGGCTCAAGGCGCAGTGGGTGACGTTTGACCGAACGTGGAGCTTTGCTGGCAACAACCTCGAAGGCACCAAGCGCGGTGGGCTGCAGCGCGGCCACTGCTGGTTCATCCCGAGCTCGACGTACACGGCCAAGGGCGCGCCTGGTATCGAGTGCAAGAGCTCGATCAACGGTGCGATTGGTGCCCCGATCTCGTAAAGCATCAATGACCCAATTCCTTTTTTGTATTGGAGGCGCCTTGGTGGTGGTGGCGGCTGATTATTGCGAGTCCATTTTGGTGGAGTAGAATATTGCAGTGGCTCGTACACCAAGCTCCGTGTAAGAATAAGAGCACCGTTGGTGGGCTATTGCCATTCTACGTGTACCTTGGTCATGGCCGTGCTAATGGCCGTGCTATGCTATCGTGGACTGGAACTGTCCACCACTTGTCGCATGCCGTTATGCCAATCATCCGGATAACGTGGCGTAGTGGCGGCCGCGCAAAAGGCGGCGCATCCCTCAACACTGCTTCCTTACGCACAAGCGGCATTGCATCTTTCTACGTCCATGAGCTCTCGACTGCGGCATGTCGCTGACGTCCTCTTGCTGCTTGGCGCGTCGCCGACGTCACCGTGTACGAGTGGCCCTACTACAAAGGCCGGTCCTGCATCTTCGCAGCCAACGAGACCAACACATTTTACGTTGCTTTTCGCAATTCCATTCAGTCGATCAAGCTCAGCGACGACGTCAACCTCGTCACCTACGACCAAACCGGCCGCAACGGCGACAACGCGACCTGGTATCTCTCCACTGTTTACACGGGCAAGTGGGTCGGCCGCATCGTCTCGTTCGAAGTGCGCAATGCAACGACGCTGCCGACACAGCCGGTCGGAACCATCGAGGCGCCCTGGCGCTTCCTTGGCACATGGGAAGGCTTCATGGTGGTGCGCTTAGCTGCCCGGAGCTCACGTCCCGAGTGCAATTTAGTGAACGGCGTCATCTGCCTTCTTGGTGAGAACGTCGATGACCTCTTGCCGCTGCTGGATGCGTACGAGTGGATTCGGACCAGCGGCAACAACGATACGAGTCTCTCAAAGTTTCCAGCGCCGTGCGGACCCGCGCGTCGAGAGCACTGGGGTAACGACGGGTGCTCTGTCGCGAGTGACTGGTGCTTTCAGGCCGCGCGGCGGCTCCCGCTTTTCGAAGTGCGCGGCAGCCTCTCGCCCACAGTGTCTCCGGCGCTGTGCTGGCGTGGCAGCGCATACAAGACGCTTACTGCGTCAAGAATGATCTTTGGCCCGCGTGCCACCTCGTTCCTAGCGTCGCAACCTGCGAGACCTGTGCAGCGCGACTGCTTGTCGACAACAATAACGCGCGAGGTGACGTCCTCCGGCGGTGCCGTGGTCCGCTCGTGTCTTGCTCTGCGGACGTCAACGTATGCACGCCCTTCGTGACAGTAGCCTCTTTTGATTCATCGACGCTTGGCGTTGATGCTGCTGCAATGTAGTGGTTCCACGCTTGCTTTCGAGCTGCTTTATCCTCCGCGTCGCCGTCTGCGCCTACTGCAATCGAAAAGAGCAGCGCGAGCACGATGAGACACAATTCAACATTGAGGCCACTGCGACCGTATGCTCGAGTAGAGACGATGACGAGCTCTCGTACGTACCAAGGGTCTACTCGACCTTTAACGCGGACAACGTACAAGTCCTGCCGTTCTCGTCGTTGCCACGCTGGAAGCGAGGTGGTTCACCGCACTGCTGCATGAGACGATGGCGAAATTGCAATCTTTTGTCTTGCTTTGAGTCGTCTCAATCACATTCCAACGCCCACCACCAGCGTTGACAACGAGCCCCGTGCTGTCGTTTCCTTTCATCAATCACACGGGGAAACGGCGCTACTTCCGGTCGGTGCGCCGGAGCGATTGCTGTTGACACGAGGGTTGTAGCCGCTCCTTGTCGAGCCATTTTGATTGTCGACCACGTGCCGGAGCGAGAGGAGAAATGAAGTGATTCATCCATGCACTTACCCTCGCCGGTCCAAGTAGGTTGCTAGCCTTTGCCGACCTCACATTGAACTTGCGTTCACGCAACATATGTCATATCGAAAAGCTTGCCAGTCGCATGGCCAGCACGCGAGACACGCTTTCCGCTTCTC